CACTAAGATTCTTAAAATTGTTTTCGATCAATGATAGGAGCAAGGCCAAACAAAAATCCCAAGATTTGAGAAATGCTATGGAGCGAAGCGGGGTAAATTCATCAATTACCGAAAAACATCTCAGTAACCTCGACGAGCGCATCATTGGCGTGATGACCACAGTGGCAGTGGTCGGTCAAAGAGAAGTTAGTGAGCCACTGGTGAGTTAAGAACATTTTCATTTATAAATTATTTCTATCCATAGATTCGAATTCGATCAAAATGTTTTTGTAGTTTGAACATACTTACTTATGTATATATCTATAATTTATATAATAATTTTTAATTACAGAGAAGTTCCGGCGCAGTAACTAGCGTGGAATTATTTGACGCCCCTGTGGACCACTTTGAGATAGAGGTATGTACATACGCATTATGATTGTCTCCGTTTTTTATTTAACTTTTTATTACAGTTTCTTGAAGGAGGCGATGAGGAACCGCAAATGGCACCGGATATGGTTCCTCAGGATCCACTTCCACCACAACGTCGGGCTCCCAAACGCAAAAATTACTCTTTAGAAGAGAGCAACGCCAAAATGATACAATTAGAAGAACGCAGAGTCGTCTTGGCGGAAAGAAAAATTGCGGCGCTGGAGAAAAGAAACTCTATAGAAGAGAGAAAGGTCGACGTATTGTCCAATATCTTAAATGAATTGGATTTACTTCTACAAAGGTGATTGGTCTCGGAGTGATCGTAGAAATACAGATATTTGAGTTTTACGGTATGTTGGCAATGAATTATGAACGGTACTCAGACGTTTATATTTTGACGTTTAACTGATTTTTTGAACTTTAATATTTCTTTTATAAAAATATAGTAAATTCAATAACATATACCACATCTATCGTTGCTTTAAACTTTGTGCGAAAGTCGCGAAAAATCAACAAATTACGAAAAGCTGTGATCAAAATTTAAAAGCTTTTATCAGAATTTTTAGAAAATGTTTACGTACGCAGATATATAGCCTTCAATTTCAGTTCCATAAAATGCAAGTTTGAAGTCGGTCGAAATCCGCGTTTGATTTTTCGAAAATATCTTTGGTTTAAGGTGTAATGCATTTTCGTCAACATAAAAAAATGCCGACATACTTTACGTGGAAGAAAATGCAGAACACCTTCAACCAAAAAAAATTTCAAAAAATTAACCGCGAATTTTTACCGACTTCAAACTTGCACTTTATGGTACTAAAATTTAAGGCTATATAAATGCGTAGTAAAAACATTTTTTAAAAATTCTGATAAGTTTTAAATTTTGATGAGTTTTTCGTAATTAGCCGATTTTTCGCGAATTCTCCACAAAGTTCGAAGCTACGATATATGTGGTCTATGTTATTGAATTTACTATATTTTTAAAAAAAAAAATATGAAAGTTCAAAAAATCAGTTAAACGTAAAAATGTAAACATCTGTGTACCGTTTGTAATTCAATGGTCATATACTATAGGTTTAGTTTTCCAAGCTGTAGAACAGCGCGTTGTTTTTTACTTATGTAAATAAATTTGGTATTTAAGCTTTAGGTTAAGTTTTCAAGCTGTGGAACAGAATTTTATTGTTTTTATTTATGATTAATTTAAATTAATTAGATATTTAAGCTGTAGGTTAAGTTTTCAAGCTGTTGAACAGCGTTTTATTGTTTTTACTTATTGCTAATGTAAATAAATTAGGTATTTAAGCTGTAGCGTAAGTGTACATGTTGTACAACAGCGTTTTAATTTTTCATTTATTATTAATGTAAATAAATTAGGTATTTAAGTTGTAGGTTAAGTATTTCAAGCTGTAGAACAGCGTCTTATTTTTATTGAATTTAATGAATTTTGGACAGAAATATGCATATATGAAAAATACTTAATATAAAGAAAATAAACGAATACGCAATTGTTTTTTAAATTTGAGTAAGCGTTAATTGAATTATTTAAAAAATAATAATAATAATAAATGCTTAAATTAAAGGATGTACCCTAGTGGTCAGCTAATTAAGTTAGTTGCATTTTGACCAGTTTTGCCTGTTTTTATATTGTTTATAATGTTTATTTTTTTATTAAAGTCTAGCGCATTATATAACAAGCATAGTATAAACCCACATTTCACACTTTGTAGAAAGTTTGTAAAAATTGAATACAAATTAAATTGAATTTAGTAGGACAAATAGCAAGTTTCAAAACGCTAGAATTTTTAATATTGTTATTTTTGCTGACGGTGCTAGGTATTTTCTTCCACGTAAAGTATGTTCGAAACGTCTATTATATAGAAGAAAATACCTGGCACCGTCAACAAAAAAATATTTAACATCAAGGCAAAGTTTTAAATATTTTGGGAAATTGGTAAATCTCTTTGGTTTTTTTAATTTTTGTACAAAGTATGAAATGTGGATTTATACGATGCTGGTTATATAAGGCGCTAGACTTAATAAACAAAACTGGTAAACATGTAACTAACTGAATAAGCTCATCACAAATACATATGTACATTGTACATGCATGTAAATGTGAGCAAACCACAAATCTCAGTAATTAAAATAGTTATTTACAATTTGTTGTCTTGCAGCAATACCATGATGAGTACTAGTTATTTCATCAACTAAATTAAACTCTTCATCAAAACTTATGTTATCATCATCCTCAATTTCATACCTTATATTATTTAATATCATGATATTGTGCAAAATTATACAAGCATTTATAATTTTTCCGGCTAAAACTGGGTCATACATAAGCACTCTATCTTTTGACAGGCATCGAAATCTGGATTTCAGCACTCCAAAGCAGCGTTCTACACAGTTTCTTGCTTTCCGGTGATGTCTGTTGTAATTATGTTCAGAATCTGAGAGATTGTTTCCCGGAATAGGAGTCATTAAATAAGGTAATTGAGGATATCCACTGTCACCTAAACATGTGAAAAGGAAAATTATGCTACATAAATAATATACATATGTATGTATACAAATTGAGTAAAATATACCTAAAAGCCAAAAATTTCGTTCTCCATTGGAGTACATATTGTCAAGAAAAACCTTCAAAGAACTTGCTCTCCAAACTGATGCAGTTCCGCCGAAACGAGCATTACAGTCAAGTATTCTTAAATCCATGTCACATACCTTCAAGTGATGAAATAATGTATGTACATACAATGTTACGTATATGTATATACATTTGTAAATATGTAAATGAATAGAACAAACCACTTGCACATTTATTGAGTGTCCTCCTTTTCGGCAAACATATACATGTTCAATGTCTTTGGATGGAGTCTTTAATTTAATATGCGATCCGTCAATGGCTCCTATGACCCCAGGGAATCTGAACTCTTGATAAAATCTAAAATAAAGAATCATAAACTTATCTTAAGTAATATTACTTTTAATTTAGTATAAGTACTTTTCCTTTACAGCCTGTTTTTCTTCAACTGTTGATGAAAACTAACAAATTCTAAAATGTAAAATTGAAGAAGTCACAGCCAGTCAAATGAAAAGTTGCAAATCCGCAGTAAAATCTGAGGACGTTTGCAAAAATAATATATCTCGAGTTTAGCCACTTTTTATCTAAACTTCTAAATCGCTGTGCTCCTTCCAACTTTTAAATTATCAATTAGTGGTTTAAGATGTTATTTTAATAAAAAACAAAATAAACATATAAACTCAATACTTTTAAAGCACATACATAAGTGGTTTTACAACAATTGTAATTTGGCAACATGGTTGCCTTCACCAGCTTTATTCATAATTTTTAAAATTTTTGTAAACCGAGCGCTTACGATTGGTTTACAGTTGACTCTAGATACTTCGAGAAACATGTATAGAATTCAAAAAATTTAATTATACTGCATTATTGATAATTGAAAAGCTCTGAAGCATGTATAAGTGAGTGTATACATACATACCTTTTCTGCGTTGGTAACATAAATATTGTTTACTATCATGAAAAGTTTCAAACACAAAATCGTACATTAACCTATTCTGCGTTGGTGATATTTTTTTTTTACCGGAAAATAAAGCTCCTCTCTTCTTTTAAGCCCTTTTCGCTTTCTGCACACTCTTGTAACTGGTAAAATTTGTTACCATCTCATAAGCAGGTAACAAAATATTGCCCCATGAAATATGCAACACAGAATTTCTACAAAACTTCATAGCTCAAATGCTGAATAAATTGAAACGCTACCAAGGTACCTAGAATTGCGGTTACAAGAAGTGGTAACAATGTTTGGTAACAAAATATGCCGGTTACAAAATATTATGTAACAAGCCGAATAGATTTACAGATGTTCAAGTTAGGAGCAGCCTACTGTGACCGCATATTAATAGGTTCGTATGTATGCGCGTAAATATGTCGAACCCGGCATTTCGCAGGAATTTAAGAATTTGTCAAGATAATATGGCGGAGGACGTGGTAAAGACGGAGATAACTTATGTTTCACATTTATGCGTTTGTTTTTTGCATGAATATGAACAAAAAATTGAAAAATATTTATTATTGCCCGATGAAAACGAAACTCATGTATAAATGCATAGATTTAAATTAAACCCATGCCATCTGTATATAATAAACATTGGTTTTGTTCATAAAGCCGCCATATACCCACTTTATCCTTCAAATCTCGACACATAACTTTTTTTGTACACTTCAAATATGTAAATTTCCAGATGAAAACAAAACATAAGTACACTCATATATAAATGCATAGATTTCTTATTAAACTAATGCATTTTTATATAAAAGTACACTGTTTTTGTTTTAATATTGAAGTTGTAAAGTTGTAATTTATGAATGATAAATCCCTTTTAATTAACAAATAAAATAAAATAATAAAATGAACATTTAAAATCAATAAATAATTTACACCAACTTGTACAAATGTACTCATGCGATTTTCCTCCCAACATATATATATGTTTCTACATCCATGCAAATATACGTACATATCTTACTAATATTATAAATGTGAAAGTTTGTATGTTTGGATGTTTGGGAAATCATCACGCGGAAACGACTAAACGGATTTGCATGAATTTGGTATGCAGATAGCTTATGAGCCAGATTGGTTAATAGGCTATCTGTTTAAGTNATTTTTTAAGAGTTGCCACCTGTTAAAAAAGTTTAATTTATTTAGTATGCGGGAACGACCGAATGGATTTGCATGAAAATTTGCACACAGATAGCTTATGACCTAGATTGGAAAATAGGCTACTTTTTTTAAGAGTTACCACCTGCTAAAAAAGTTTAATTAAATTATTACGCGGAAAAGTCTGAACGGATTTGCATGAAATTTTGCAAGCAGATAGCTTATGACCTACAGTGGAAAATAGGCTTTTAAACAAGTTTTAATTAAATTAATACATGGAATCGACTGAACAGATTTGCATGACATTTCGCACAGAGATAGCTATGTTGGAAAATAGGCTACTATTTTAAGTGTTATCACGTATTAGGAAAGTTTAATTAAATTAATACGCGTTAACGACTGAACTGATTTGCATGAAAGTTTGCACACAGATAGCTTATGACCTAGACTGGAAAATAGGCTACTTTTTTAAGAATTGCCACCTGTTTGAAAATGAAATTTTGCTCAAAGATGGTTTATGACCTGGATGGAAAAATAGGCTACTTCCTTAACCAGTTTTCCGATCAGAACGAAATTTAGTACACTTACTACGGATTTCGGAAGGATGGTCTTAGACTGAAAGTAAGTCCGATAACTCAAGGCCCCTCCCATACAAATTGGAATTTTCATATTACATACATATCTCTGGAAGTATTTGTGGGAGAGAACTGAAACTTGGTATAGTGATATGTATGCGAAATCAATGATGGCATTAATCGATTGATGTTTTAATCGGTTAGTTAATTCGATTAATTTCAATCTGATTA